TTGTGTAGTCCAAAGTATGAAAGATGACATAGAAAGTGCAACATGTGATGTGTGGTATACCTCATACATTGAATACTGCAAAACATACAGCCTACAATCTACAATGCGTATTCAATATGTACCATTTCATGAATACTAAAGCGGTGCATGATATGGGTTGCACGGCACGGCATTGATGCGTATGTATGTATACATATATATATATATATATATATATATCTATCTATCTATATATATATATATATTATATTATATTATATTATATTATATTTATATGGTACGTATGTGTGCGTTTCCCATGTGAGACATTATACCAAAAAGTTCTGGTATGCAGTATTTGACATATGACGTATACAGATGTAACAGCATGATAGAATACAAGATGTGCAGCTTTTAAGAAATATGCCATATGATGCATAAAACTTCATATGCAGTACATGTTATACGCCAAAGAAGGTATCACACATGATGCATAATATGTTTTTGTGTCACACATAGTTTCAGAATGCATTCGAGTCTTCATGAGGAAACAAAAGGAACGACCAGGCATTTGCAGTCCACATGGCAGAAGTAAACTCGCACGTCTACTTGGCCAATTGTTGTTGCCGGCAACTCAAGCCTCTTTGACGTCATTGACACCGCCAACTTTGAACCGGTCAGAGAAGAGTGTTTTCTGAAGTCTTGGCCACAGGAAGCCACTTCGGCGAAATCGCGTTGCTCACAGGCCTCGTTCCTTGTGATTGATTTTGTTGTCAGCGTGTGCCCAGCCAACGAACCCAAAGCCACTTCACTCTGCGGGCGCACCTGGCAATCTTCGCGAGGTCAACTCCGCACTGCTTGGATCATGGCCCGAGCATACTGCTTGACATCTGTCCTTCAAGCGCGCCTGGATTGGCAATGAGGGAGGGGGAGGGCCTGGACCCAGTGTTTCTGCGTGCTGCAAAAAGCCAATTCAAGCAGGTTGCTCAGGGATTGTCAGCGCTTTGTCAAACTCCGTCTTTTTTGCCAAAGCACCTTGCAGCCTGCTGCGCGAGTGGCAGTTCTTCTGTGGCATTGGAGGATTTCCCTTGCTCTAAGGAGTGCGATAGATCACCTGATGGCCCAAGATCCGACGTCTATTTGCACCCTCATCAAAAACTTTCAGGACATGTACCTTGTCCGATGAACTGGAAGTTGCGATGCAATCGGCAAGTTGGCTGTCCACCCATGAGCCTTTCTATTGGCGACCAACCTAGCCGCGCAATGTTTCACACGGCATATTGTCGTTGACACTTTCAGTGCTGGACGACATGCAAAGCCATTCGTGAGAGCAGGGCTCCATGATGCTCCATGGCCTTGCCCACTGCTAGACTTCTGGGGCCACGACCTACTTACGCAAGGAAGCAATCGGTAGTGAGTTAGGCTTGAGGTCTGCGTGTGTGAGCTCCGTGGCTGAGGTTAAAGTTGAAAGCTTCACTGTCATGGGCTGACATCAAGCAGAGATTGGACAGAGAGTTTGATCCGGATGATGTCTTGCGACAAGACCTTTATGATGCTTGGCATTCGCTGGCGAGTCAAGCGCGAGTCCGTGCCTTGGGTTCCAATGTGATCTCCCACCTTACATACCTTACCGAGGACTTCACTTGCAGTGGAGACGATGGTCTCGCGCCAGCAGGCTCTGTTCTGAATTGCTGACCTCCGGTTCTTGGGTCCTTGTGCTGGTCCTGTTGCCCGGCCAAGCAATCTGCAACAGCCTGGTGATATTAGTTCGGAACCAAGTCGTGACCACGTCTAGGTTCGTCTTCCCAAACTGACAAGCAACACCCATTCCTTCAACAGCTCTGTTTGCTGGTCACCGAGCAATTTTGCAAGTAAATGCCAGCGTGCAGACATTACCAGGCCTGATCACGTGGACGCGATATCAACTGCTGCTATCTCGAATTCAGGCGAGGGAAACTTCATTTTCAGATAAGCCCCTGTAGAACATGCATCCCAAGCTGTGCTGCAGTGGTTTTCTACCAGTGCTGTTGTGGTCGTTTCGTCCTGTGCAAGTTCCTGAGCGAGGTCAGTCAACTGGATCAGAAGCTGCTTTGGGCTTTACTCGACGAAGACCAGTGCGGTTCTGCTACCAAGTTGCAGTTTGGACAGGAAGCTGCTGCTCTCGCAGCATTCGAGTAATTTTTTTTCTCACATTGCCACCTTATCCTGATGTTTTCAGCATTGGGGCTCCTTGCACAACGGTCTACAAGGGCCTTTGAATAGCGCTCTTCTTCCTGGGTGAGAGCTGCCCTGGCTTTGAAGGTCAGTTTCGAGCAGTTTGTGTTCGTTGTGTCTTGGATGCATCTTTAATATATAACATACAGAGCTGTCTGAGCAGATGAGACGATTTCGATCGTTGGCAAAGGTGTACGGGCACTGGCCCGAGGAGACTGCATCTGAATCCGATGGCGGAGCTCAACCATCAGCCTCGATCAAGTCCGGGAAGTCCTCGAAATCTTTCAGATCCTTCAAAGTGCCGGCAATTGATGTCATTGAGCGAAAAGATTCGTCGGCATCGAGGCCAGCTGGAGAGAAGCATCTTGCCAGTAGCTCGTCAACACCATGCAATCGCAGGCTGCGGCCGTCTGCTTCGACACGATCTAGGGCGCCTCACGCCAGGACACAGGGGAAGCCAGCTGGCTATCCGAAGCAGCCGTCAAGCTTTCGAGAAACTTCACAGTGATGCCAGCACTTTTCTGACTTGCGTGGTCATCTTTCTTAAGACAATGCTGTTGTCGGCTGCAGCTTCCAATGCTGACCAGGAGAAGGAAACAAGCAGGAACTTCGGTGGATGGTGATGCTGTAGGGATCGTGCAGAGGCACAATTCCGTCCAAAACAGTTCTGAGTGCGGTGCTGACTCTTTGCGGACACTGCTTTTCCGGTCTTGCTCTGTCTAGCCCAGCACAACAACTTGCTGGGGCGCAGGTAGAGTACCTGCTTTCGAGTATAGCAAGTAAGTCTGGGAGACAAGAAAACGCTCGGGACACCCGCGCCATTGGCGGCTAGAGGCGGGTTGTTGAAATCGGAATGGCACCTCTCGTTTAGGAACATCGCCCCTTGCTGCTGGATACAAGCAAAGCTTCATGCCGGGGTGGTCCAGCTGCGCGTGCTCAAAGAGTCTATGAGTCTATGACAGATGGCAAAGTGCCACAGCCCACTCTCGAGACGATAACCCTTACCATGGCAGCACATCATGAGCTGCTGCGAGGCATGCATATCTTGGCCAAAGCCGCTTAAAGTTGATGTTACTTCTTCGGCCGCCTGTTCTCGAGGATCTTGTTGAAGGTGTCTGTGATTACAAGATGCGACCGGGCCAGGATTGGCCGGATCGCGGGTTGCGGTGTCACGCTGAAAGAAGCCCACGATGAAATCTCCAAGTGTTCACCTCTTGCCCGTATGTGCCTTAAGCTCTGACATCTCTTGTGCGCCTCCGAGGAGTGACCGAAACAGATAGCAATAAAGACACAAGTAGCCGGCGATTCCACCGCCAGTTAACAGCACATATGGTAGTTTCCAAAAGGTTCACAATGTGTTCACTTGTCCTTTCTGGAGGCTCCTCGCGGGGTGTTGCAGTCCTTCTTGGTTAGAAGCGATAATGAAGGCGCAGTCTTGCAATTGAAAGGCTGGCAGTGCTGGAAGACAAGATGCTTGGCTAATCCAGAGTCTTGAGGTCAACAACGTAAACTCTCTAGAAATATGTACTGCAACGCTGGCAGAGCGATGGTGCATTCAAGCAAACATCAACGGTACGCGCTGTGAAGTTGCATAGCGAAGGATCGATGCACTTCTGGGAGCCTTGGAAAAACATGGATGACGTGATTTGACTTCCTCTTGGCAGTCTGAGCTTCTGGCGATGAGAAACTTGAGGCGTACATCCGACAGAACAGTCTTCTTCTTTGCCCAATTCAGAACAACGACTTTCTTTGTCGGCTCCTTGCCTGCGGTGAAGTCTCAGTCTGCGCGTCTTGGTGAAGCCTCTTGGGCATCCCGTGGCGAGTTGGGAAAAGACTCAGGTTCCCAGGGGGCGGCAGAATAGTTTGCATTGAAGTCTATGCGGCCTGAGCCTGGATCCTAGATTCATAACATGTATTTACCTTTTTTGTGAGAGCGTTTGTGGTGAGGGTTTTCCAGCGGCTGAATCCCCGAAGGAGTCCTCAGAGCTCAGCCAGGGCCAAGCCGGCCATGACGCTCGGAGGCAGACAAATGTCTGACCTGCAAATGCGCCAGTTCGCACGAACATCGCTTGCCGGCGTCGTGTTACAGGAATCAGACTGTCATGGAGCCCTTTTGAAGGCCCGGCCAGCGAGAGATTGTGTTTTTTGCTCCAGTCCTGTGCCGAATCGCTGGAACAGCAGCGGCCAACAGCAGTCCAATGGTCTGCATTCTGCAACGGCGTCTAAGATGCCTGTGTGCTCTACTGGGGCCAACATGCAAATGAAACCGCAGCTCTGTAGCTACCCTGTGCGAAGAATGGCATTTGCTCACGCTGACACTACAAGCCTGAGTCTGAACGTCACAGAGGTGCGCACCAAGTCAGTTCTGCTATCGTAGACGGGCTTCAAGACGGAACTCGCCTCGGTGGTTTCACTCTCTCAGAAAGCACCCGAACACCAGAAAGCAAAAAGCACGCCCAGCAGAGAGTTCGTCCCAGATCCGCTTTGCTTGATCGCTGCATCCTCGGAGTACGAGTGTAAGTACTTTCGGCGTCCGTGATTTGCCATGTTCTTCTCGGAAACGCAGCATCCGCACGCATGCCACCATTGCAATTCCAGAACTACACATGTGACCCACACTGGCGGCTGCAAGGACACGATAGCATCACCATGTCACACAGATCCACCCATCTTGAGCAAGTCTGAGAACGAGAGAGGATGCCGAACTCCACACACACACACACACAAACAAAAGAAATACACCAATTGCCCGATTGTGCTGTGGACGCTCTGCAGCCATGTGACTTGCATGATGGGCTGAGTGATCAATGCCCGTTACCCGGGTAGTTCTGGAATCTTTTGGGCGTAGGCCTGGAAGTATGGTATTGCAAACGACGAAGCGAAGCTGGCGCGCAGGACAACGGCAGGCAGTCAGTGACAGTCAGATGTCAAATGATTAGAGTTTTCCGATTTCGGTTCGTTCAGACGGAGCACGTCAGCTTGTCAGAGCGCCCGTCCGAACGGTGAGGGGGACATCAGTCTCGTACACGCTTCATCTCATCATCCCATGGCATTTCCAATTAAACCATTCCTGGCGGATTGCTGGTGTTGGCAAGAAACTATCAGCAAGCATTGAGCTCAACACCGATTTGAAGTGTGGTTTCGGCTATGTTCTCTCGGATGGCATGTGTTCTAAATCTTTCTGCGGTTGCCAGCATGTCTTCCGTGTTGTCGAGCTGGCAGGACTACGAGCACTTGCGATCCTCGTGATTGCCGGCTTGCAACTGAGAAGTTTTTGCACAGGCCGGTGTAGCGAAGATCCGGCTTTTGCGAGCGATCGGGGCATTTTGCCAGGCTCGGCAAGCCGCAAGTTCTGGCCCAAGCTCTGCCAGCGTGCAACAAATGAGCCACGTGAGCTCGTGGATTTGTACGGCACCTGGGTCGCAAAGGTTGGTGCTCAGATTCGCCGGTGGCTTTCCTCCTCCCCTCTCCACTTGTCTCACTCTCTCTCTCTCTCTCTCTCCCTCTCTCTCTCTCGTGTTGCCATTTTGCATGCTGCGAGGAATGAAGACCCGTGAGCTGAAAGCCTTCCTGAAAAAGAATGGCGTTTTCGTTGATGACTGCTTTGACATGGATTCGTTTCTCGGCACCTCCATCTTGAGATCACCGGTGTATCAATATTTGTTCAGCTGGGGCCCGGGAGCTAAACCCCTGGTCACCCCGCCAGACCGAAAAGGTCTCAAAGCAAGTCTCGAATCAGGCTGATCCAGCGCGCTTCCGCAACGGAGGAAGACTGGGGACGGAAAGACAAAGAAGAGACGGTTGCTCCGTCGCTTGGGCGCATTATGCAGATTTCTAGCGTGAGAGGTTGGTTGGGGAGCTGCGCAACCCTTGGTCTGAGAGCTGCAAAATGTCAGACTCTAGAAGATCTTCGCGAAACGGCTGCGCGGCGCTGTCTAGCTCAGAGGGTTCTGCTGGCATCTCGAAGGGTGTCAGCTTCCACATCCGGCGAAGTCAGCGACTCCTCGGATGCACGTCCGGGAGCGGACGAGATTGAGAAGGCATGGAAACGGTTGCTTGACAAATTTCGGCACAGACGTCACACATTCGAGAGCTAGAAGTCTCGCGTAGTGCGAGCGATGAAAGGTGCGGTAGGACTGGTGGAACCCAAAGAAGAAAGCAAGAGAGGTTTCGAGGAAAAGGGCGCATCGCCTGCAGCTTGAGTCTTGTTCAGGGGTAGAGCCGAATTCTAAAAGCTTCGCAGAGCGCCTACTGTAAAGAGTTGGAGCCCAGGCGTATTGGCGAGCCGTTAACTCATTTCTGGTTTTGGGCAGTTGATACCAGAGAAGAGCTGTGGGAGCCTTTAACCCGTGGCTTCCATTGGAAGCAAGGACGCTGACAGGATGCACGGCAGCAGTGTATATCCGCATAAGAGTCCCTCTAAACCCTGCAGAGCCGAGCATTAGTCGAAGCACTAGGAAGGCACCCGAACTTCGGGAAAAGCACGCAGGCTGGCTGGAACTCCCGGCCTCTACCGGTAGCTTTCCTGTCTTGACTACTACTTTACCAACCTGGGGCTGAAACTGCGTTCAAACAACTGTGCCAGGCACGACCGGTGTCTCGATACCTGTCATCTGCCAGGTACAGTCGGCTATGGCATCTTGGACCAGACCTGTCCGAATGGGCATTTGCATAATTGAGATCTCCAGCATGCAAAGAATCAGAGAACAGTGAACAGTACAGCTCCAGGACGAGCATGCTTTGCCACAGCCCCCGCGGAACCGTGACATACAATGCATCCAGTAACCCGGCGGGTGTGTGTGTGTGTGTGTGTGTGCCGAAGGCTTTGCGAGGCCTGGCCAGGGCAATCCCCTCGAGCACTTGGATTGCACAAGAAAGAGAGGGCCGCAAGGGACAGCCTTAAGTTGAGTCACAAAAACACCCAAGGTATTGGGGCCGACAGATGCCGACAAGACTGTATCTCGATTGCTTATGCCTGCTGCCGGGAGGCATCAAGGAAAAGACCACCTCTGTATCATTCAGGTCATTCTTCTACATGGCTTCGGTGACCAAAATTCGCAGCCACGAGCCCAACTCTGCCATGAAAGAAGGCGTTGCATCACATGAAGCGAGACTGTTCGAAGGCGCCGGTAATGCTTTGACTGCGAAGCATTCAAGGTTTCTGGCTGACACCTTTCAGCCGCTGCTGAACATACAAGGTCTTCGCCTGATTCTTCCACAGGCCCCTGAGGACGCAGAGCTGGGATTGTGTTCAATTTACATGGGCGCCCACTGGCATGCAGAATTCGCCGCAGGAAAACCTCCAGGGTCAACAGCTTCAGTCGTGGTTTTTGCCTATAAATGGGCAGTGGATCATTGACGACAAGGCTGGCACAAGCGATTTGTGCCACAACAGATGCATGCTTCTTGCTGGGCCCTAGGCCCCTAGGCCCTAGGCCTTTCCTTTTGGTTGCAGGTTGTTGAGCCAGTGGCTGCCTACTTGCATGCGATGATTCGGAGGGAGATCGCCCTCGGAGTCCGACATTCAGAACATGAAAGCTATGAAACAACCCTAGTCGTCCGGCTGAGCCGGTATCCAGTATCTTCCCACGAAGTCGCAAGGTGCCTGCACATCGAATTCTCATTGGCGGCTTTGCACAGGCTCGGACTAGTAACGTGCTTCAAGGCTCGGCTAGGTGTTGCTGAAGTGCAAATGCCAAAGCTGTCAGGGTGCTGGCTGCGCTCTGCGTGCAGCCTTGAGCTTTCCAGACGCAGCCCTCGGCGGTGCCATTGCTCTGTCTGGCTTCTTTGGTGCACCAGAAGTGTCCCGGCACTTCACAGCCTGCTTTCGCTGGAGCCCCGACAACAGCTTTCTTGTCTCCCTTCCTTGCATGAGGTGAGTCTCTTGGCGGCAGCGGCATAAGCTCATGAAGTTGGGAGAGATATCCTACTTCATCTTTGAGGAGCACCTTCACGCTACCGATAGGCAGTCCCACTCCATGGTTAAGTGTTACTTGACTGCACACCCTACGGCCCGACAAACCCAAAACCCAATGCTTGAGGTATTGCTCCCTCGAATCAGCGTTTGCCGGCTTTGATCTGCCACGGCAAGAGCGACGAAGTAGTTCCCTTCAGCGAAGGCACCAGGCCAGCACCATGCAAGCTTAAAGCTGTTTAAAGTTTAAAGCTCAGACAACTCAGGGTCCTACATAAAGTATATCCGTACTAACCGTTTGTTTTACACTCCAAACCATTCTCTAAAGAATGATGAGGGCCCTTTTTCCGATGCCTGTAGGCGTTTCGCTGGCAATCGGTTTGACTGATAACATGTCTGACAAAGGATGGCGAGCCTGCTGGGCGAGCGCACTAGCAACGTGGTGCTCAAGGAGCCCCCCAGCTGAGAAAGTAATCTTCGCCTTTGGCACAAAACCTTTATAACACTAGCAAAATTCAAGACACTGGTACTGATTCTTAAATTGATAATGGCGGCAACAACACAGTTACTAGCGTTAGATTTTTATAGTATCACTGGGGCCCTCCATTAGCCTCCATTGCCGAACCGAGCCAGTGAGGTATGAGATGAAGCATGGAATTGCAAGTGATGAGATGATTGACATCCTTGTGCGCGGGCCGCAAGAAGCACATGCGTTTTTTTGCAGGAGCCATGCGTTTTTTATGCAGGAGCGTGGATGTTGTTGTGCTCTAGCGTGTACCTGCTGGAATGCGTGTTTGTGTGTGTGTGTGTGTGTGCATGCATGCATGCATGGTACACACGTTATTATTATGGTCCACCGGCCTTGGAGCACTCTTGGGAAGTGTACAGCTCGGAATCGCGTTCTGCATTTTGTACCTCAGACTGACCATGGTCTTCATGATGATAGCACTAAAGAGTATAAGACTGCCCTGTGGCTGTGCAGTCAGCAGCTCTTAGAAGGTGAATAGAGTGTTGCAATTGGACTTCTCGGGGTAGCAGGGAATGTGAAGTTGTTTGGTTTTGAAGTTGGCCGGATCCGACAAGACGCGATATCTCTTAACGCGAAGAATTTGCTTGATTCATTGGCTGAACATCCGGGCCGAAGCCAGGCTTTTCAACAGGTCGGAGAATGCGCGTATTTCAAGCAGGCGCAGTCATGTGGACTCAAATGCAGCCTCTTTCTATCAAAGTTGCCGAGGAGTTCGTCCAGGACAAGATGTCCAAGGTTCCAGCGGACCCTCTGGCCTTTGATCCAGCCACCTGGAGTCAAGAGTGGAGTTCTGCTCATCAGCATGCGCTCCAAGACCGGAATCAGGCAAACCTGACGCCTGAGCCGCCGCCCCCGCCAAGCGCCCAACCGCCACCACCGCGTGCTGCGGAAGAAACCGGCGGGATTCCGACCATGGTCCTGCGACTTGAGCAGGGGCTGGGACTTGTGTGGCGGGCTTTCGATACATGAGCAGAACCAAGGACCCACAGATTACACTCCAGTTGCTCAACGATCAGGAGATCGCAGATGCCGCCAAAGATCCGGAGGGCATGGCCATCATTCAAGATGTCGCACAGTTGCAGCCAGGCTCTTTTCTCGAATCTGCGGATATTGCAGGTGGCTCTCCCTGCTGAGGTCATAATGAATCCTTCCAATCTGGAACTGCACAAGCAGAACCCAAGGGTCGCAAACCTGGTTGCCAAGTTGGAGTCGTGGCCGCAACCGTGACATACCCGTAGATAGGAAGGCAGAGCCCTCGGTGCGCAATACATGCGACAAAGCTTCCTGAATTCTGAAGCTCGGCAAACGGCATCACTTGCATGTGACACAGTGCACATTTTGCAGAGGAAGGAAGGAAGGCACAGTGCTTGTAAAAACCCTGCATGCTCTAAACCCAGTGGTGTCCCAATGTCCTATCGACCCCCGGAGCAGTCCGAAAGTCTTATTGAAGCACATGCATGTCAAATCGCTGTTCTACGTTGCAGCCCTTCATCTTGCAGCCTGTCATGCCACACCTCGGCTTGGTAAGGAGAAGATCTTGACGGGAGGTGATGCTGCTTGAACAAGTCCGGCAAAAGCGAGTGCTTCTTGCGCATGGTTTTGTTTGTCGGTCTCGTGCCAGTGAAATTCTATTGCCACCCTCCTTGGCACATAACTATAACTCTGACCACTCTCGACCAGAGCTGGGGCCGCGGTTTTACACGGCAGAACGGACTAAGAGAAAGCAGCATACGAAGGCTGTACACGTGCAGAGCCCCATGATTCATAGAGTTCCGGAATCGAGTTCAGCATTGCACAGAGCCCCAAAAGCAGCGATTGCCAAAGATGTTCGTGGGTCGATCAAGGTCGCATGCTTCTTCCCAGCCATGCCCGTTCTGAGTTCATCATATCCTCTTAAATCTGCTTATCATTGAGAGTTGGTCCCACTTGATCAAGAAACCCCCATTGTTGAAAGCACACTGCTTGTCCAAGCAACATCATAACAGTCTTGTAGACTCGGCCATTGATGGGACATTCTCATTATTCGTATGAACTCGGTTCCGCCCTTCGGCCCACAATGCATCTGTGCACACTTCTGCGATGCCTTCAGTGGTTTAGAACATGGATTTGGGCAATTTGTAGAATGTCACAACACCTGCCTCACGAAGAGATACTTGACAATCCATGCATCAACACCGTGTACACGATTATACATGACGATATCTGGTAAGGCCGACCGAACTGACTGGCACCTTCGGAGGATCTTGAGAGCTAATGTCGCCACTGGCCAAGCCATGTCGGACCGACATCGCAACTACCCCCGTGGTTCGTCGGGAGGAGTAGTGGCCCAAGCTGTGCTTCATGGTGTGGCGCGCGTGTCAAGATAAATGATTGCCGATGTTCTGCGGATGTTGATGAAGGTCCTTCGTCCCGGAGTCCATGTCATCATCCACGGAATCCGAGTGGCTTGTCTTACAAGGTTGTTTTTCTCCCAAATAATATCGCAAGCGGAAGGGACTGACATTCTGAAAGTCACAGAACACGGATGCCGGGATTTGATGTTGGCGGACACAGGTTCTACAAGTACCTTAAGTTTGGGATGGGGAGATGTTACCGATAGTTCGACCCACCAGCTTAAACAACGAAGTTGACCCACGCCCCTACCCTCTTCCCCTTAGACTCCTGACACAAGCGAGCTTTGGGGCCTCCTCCGCCATGAATAAGTATTATCATTTTCAAACGGCGTAGTAATTACCCCGCTGGCCTGCGTAGGGAATTCGTTGCTTTGAAGCACTCTGCTGCTCCGCAAGAGTCTGCATAATGATGAAAGGCCCGGCAGCTCAAAACTTTCGGCCCGGGGATGTACGGCTCGCCTCCAAGAGTTGACTCTCGTAGCAGTCTTCCCCGCCACCCGTTAAACCTGGCTGTTCGTCAGGAATCTTCTTGAACCGATGTTCCCGAAAGTTGGATTCGGCTACTGAATAATGCCTGCCATAGTCCTGGAAGCATTCACGCACAACACACTTTCTTGCATTTACGACGTTTACGATAGACTCTGCATTACGGCTGAGCTAAAGCCTTCGCTCAGGAGGGCTAGGTTCCCGCACAAAAGAGCGAGGTCGACAGGAAACTAAGCAGAGTTGATCATGCCGCAAGTCGAATTATGAAGCCCTGTCAGCTTGTGAAGCACTTGTGTGATACCCTTTCCACGACTGCCCAGTCCGTCCGCGAGCTGAACGGTCAAGAAGGCACATGCCTGGCTTGGTTTCCCGAGAGCCCTGTCTTCAATCAATTTGGTTAGTCGGTAGGGAGGGCCGTATTGCTTACTATGCGCAAATACATGTATATATATATATACACATACTCCATACATACATATTTGAATATATATATATATATATATATATATATATTCCAGTCGGCCTTGAAGGGATTTCAGTGCTGTGCTATCCCTTCACAACCTCTACCGACGTGTGACCTGCCATGCAGTCTTCGGACGAGCCAAGTGGGAGCCAAAAATATATTCGCACATATATATATATATATATATATATATATTCGCATATATATATATATATATATATATGTATATATATATATATATATATATATATATATATATATATATATATTCGCACACATATATATATATATATATATATATATATACACGCATGTTGCTGATTTATAGTTATATGGTTGTGTATATATATATATACGCATATACATTTACATATGTATATATATATACATGTACATATATGTACATACATGTACATATATGTATCTCTCTCTCTTCTTCTCATAGGAATTCCGAGTTGAGATCCGAGGAAGGGCCGCGTCCATGTGCAGCTCGCGGATGCTGTCAAAGCTTTAAGACCCGCAAATCTCAAAGTGGTACAGCCAAAGAGGGATAGCAACGAGATGTTGGATCGGGTCCTCGAGGTATTTCAATGAAGCTTGGCATGATTCGTCATTTGTTCCCGTGTCTCCCGGTTTGTCAGCTCGCATAAAATATGAACACACGCTGTCGGACGCGATCTTTGCGATTCCGAGGCTATGACAGCTCTTTGGATGCATTTGTGTTGAAGGTTTCGCTAAAGCTCAGCAAATGGCCGAGCGGCGATTTCCCGCGAAACACAAACGCAGCCAAGAAGCTTGTTGGTCAAAGGAGGTAGGAGGTGCCTCTCGCCATGCCCGATAGAGCGTGACAGCTGAGGTAACGGCAACGGGGTCTTGGAGCTAGAAGAGTTTGAGAGATGTTTGGCTGGAATTGGGCTGAGACTTGGCTTCATATACGCATACTGCGATTGAATGCGGCTGGAGAATCCTGAAGCTAAGGGGGAAAGAGTATGTCATCGCATTCCAGCTAGCAATGGACAAAGACGGCGACTTTGCATCCCGACTTCAAAACACGTCCGTGGGAAGTGCTCGTCAGCTTTGCTGTGCTGTCGCCATCGCCAGGGCATCGCTTGCAACAGGTCGTGGACTACTCCGAGTTCTCTCGCTGGGCCTTAGGCCAACGATTTCGAAAGTAACAAAACCGCCAGTCTTATTCAATGCGGTCGCCCCGCCGGCGAGGCTGTGAAGTTCCCGGAACGCACAAGACGCGCTTGGAGCTGTACTGGCCAAAGAAGGTCGATAAAGGCTCCGACGACACATATAGACTCTGCAGAAATGGTATGCTCGCGCCACAGGCTCCAAAGAAGAGGTTGCCGAGAAGGTTGACGATGATGACACAATTCCAGCCGCAGACGAAGAGCTGACAGAGCGGGATGTCGAAAGGCTCCACAACGGATTGACGCCACAACTGGTTAAGAGCTTGCGTGTCATAATTACCAACCACTCAACACTTGCTTCAGGATCATGAAGAAGCGGCAGCTAGGCTGAGGAAGAAGTCGTCTGTGTGTGGAGATGAAGCAACAGAGAGACAGAAGAGAGAGATCGGTGGTCCGTGAAGTCTGTCCTGTGCTGACACGGGTCCTGAGCGAGCAATCCGGCAGTTCTCAATCAATGGGAAAACACGTGTAACTATATGCTGAAGTATTGAACAAAGCATGCCCAGAGAGGTTGCGGAAAGCGCGGAACGGTGCTCAGGCCCTGCCAATGCCACTCTCGAATACGGCCACCGCCATTTTGCATACTACACTTGCCCAGCGACTCAAGACACGATGGTACAATCAGGCCGCCACCGAGACCCAACAAGTCGTTCTTCTTTCTGGTCCCAGCATTCCGGCTTCGTCGTTAAATTGCGGGTGACATCGGACGACAGACATGACGGTCCTCTCTCAAAAATGTGGAATGCTGCAGCATGCAACGCCCGCCCTGGCTTTCTCCAAAGATGTGCGTATTCAGTTAAAGGACTCATGCTAGCACATCTCATCGGCGCGCACAAACACATACGCAAGTGCACGCATGCGCACACACACACAAGCAAGAACACGTGCATGCCGTCTCTGCGCTGTGCTGGGAGTGCACGGTGACACAAGCCTGGACTCAGTGATGGCATGTCGAGCGAGAGCAAGCAAGCAAGAGAGAGAGAGAGACATGCCATCAAAGCGCAAAGCACGAAGTCACGCTAAGCCCTCGTGAAATCAGCGGTTTTGGAGCATCTTAACATATCTTAACGATCCAGCCTCAGGTTGCCTGATGAGTGGCCAGCACACGGGCCGTTGCCTCAGCTGTTTGCCTCCACCCTGTCGACATTGGCAGCAGGAGCTCTAAGAAGCATGTGCCCTGTTTTGTGCCTTGCAGCTGCCGTTTCCAGGATAAAGATCGTGAACAATGCACGTGCGCGGTTTCCAAACTACCCTGTTGCTGCTTTGCTGCAAGCCCGAATACGTGTTTATCCTGCATTGACACACTCAGAACTGTGAACTGCTTGATTTCTGAGGAAGGCATTGTGCCCTGGCGTTGTCTGGGGGGCGCTTGTATACTTCCAACCTGGGCTTCATGTAGAACTCAAGACAGCATGCGCACTGATGCGCAGCTTCATGTTGTTCTGTGATCTGGGAAATTGCTAGCATTTCGAGTTTGCTGCGGAGGTATGGTCTATGAAGCGAAACGAATACATTGGTGGCAAGGTTCTGGCCACGCTCTTTGATGACTGGCGGCCCCAGACTGCTCAAAAAGAGTTGCACCTCTTGAAGCCTAAGGCAGACATTCGGGCAACCGGAGCCAAAGAGGCCGGATCAAATCAGTTGGCCCATCTGGCAAGGCAGGGTTAAGAAGTGCATCTTGCAGGTCCACGTTTGCAGGACCTCACCGCTTGTGGCCAATACGCAGGCAAATGCCCAGCGCTTGCGTGCATCCAGCTGTGGACCTTGCACCTTAGCACGTACGATTCGGGCGCTTTGCTCCACTATGCTTCAGCATTTCGCAGCACGAAACTCTGACAGAGACATGCAAATGCAACAGGAGGCGTTTCCAGCCATCTACCGCAACATTTCTCCCGAGGCCTCCGGCGATTGGGAGTGCTTAGTATTAGGCTTAGACTTTATGGAGAATTTCGCGCGTTGCTCCCACAGTTGCTGAGTCTTGTCTGGATTGGGCTGACGGATGCTGATGCTTTTTGAATGATTCTGAATCTAAGTGCGAAAGTATCAGCCGCAATATGATTTTTCAAGTCCGTGCTACGAACATCGATGCTGTGCTGGCTCCCGCGGGTGTCGGGCTAATGCTAATGACTAGCTTGCACAGTCCCCGTCTGCGAAAACACAGATTTGCAGCAACAGAACTTCTTGCGATTTAACGCGGCTCGAGCTGGCGAATACAGACTCCTGGTAGTGTACGGCAGAGGTCCTTTTTGCGGCGCGTTCGTGGGTCTTGCTATGCTGTGCTACGCTATGATCGGCCGTGGGATGCAAGCGTAGGCCTAGAGAGCATGAGCTCCAGCGAGAAAAAGTCGCAGGGCCCAACATACAGGGCTCATCGTGCACCATCAGAATCTTGCAAGCTCGTGGCAAACGTACATTTGCGACAGTGGAGATTCGGCAGACTGACGCCGAGGGTGGGCGGAAGCAGGACGCTTTTCCAAATTCTTTCTCTGGCAAATCTGATTTTCCAGCTGCAGGTTGTGCTAAGACTGTCAAAACGTGTCAACCAACACACCACTCTGGAACCATACATGTCCTTCCATTTTTCTTGAGTAGTTTTGAGTGACCTTGCATGTGCAAGGGTTGGGGCATTGCTCTGGAATAGCTCCGCTCAGGGCGACCTCATGGTTTATGCTTCCGACGAACTGGAGTCTGGCTCTCTCTTCGCAGGGATGCGCGATCGCCGTTCCGGCCCAGGTTTACTTTCACACACCGACCAGCATTACCAGTTTTGGGCTGTGCACATGCAGCACACCTCGCGCCAGGCAAGTTGGCACCCATAGGGTTGATTCACCAAGGAGTTACCAGCCCAGACAGACGCGGTTTTTACCAGAAGCTTGTCCGAGAGATTGCGGCATGTTAGCTGACTAAGGAGATGTTCACGGTTTATGGATCAGGCGCGGTGCGGAATATGGGTGCCTTGGGCAGCAGAGCAGTTGGTACTTCAATGTTTGGTGCACAAGACAGAGCTGCCCAGGTTCTGTTTCGGCCGCATCAAGTTCAAGGGCCAGGAGAAGCCTGAGACATGGGTAGTGCTGGGACTTCTTATCGAAGCCACAGGCCAGTGACTCATTCACGAAACCAGCGGTATCAACTGACGGCGGAACGAGCCTATAGGGAGTCAACAGCAACAAGATGCGCCAGGCATCAAAGGAATCAAGGGAGCGAAGGACCGCAAGCCCGAAGACCTGACGTTTTCAGATGCGACTTGGCGTGTGGTGGCGTTGGCTTCTGTGCGTACCTGGCCGGTTGAGCATGTTGCCAAGACTGGAAGCTAAGGCCGAACGAGTTAACGGCGTCTAGTGCCGTGGTGGTGGTGTTTCACATTCGGCCTCCTGCGCAAGATGTACGATCACATATGCTACATTGTAGTAGGGTCAAACACTGTGACGTAGAAGCTGCCCGGTGCATGAGGCACGACAAGAAAAACTTCAATCATGCTTGTGCATGACCGCAAAGCGGTGCAGGAATTCCGTCCGGCAGACTGCTTGGCCAGCCAGAAAAACCGATTAGCCATGAGCCATGAGCTTCCTTGGAATCGCACTTCTGAAGCCAGTCAGTAGGGTTTCCGTGCCGTGTCGAATGTTCCAGCATCTCCGAAACTCCGCGACACCCCTGGTCAGCACGCATCTAAGATACGTGCTTGGTCGTTTCATGTGGTTTTGCGAAGGGGATCTTTCTCAAATCATGTTGACATCATCTAAGCAAGCATTTCCCTGCAGTTTCTACCAGCTCCTGGGATCTTGATTGCAAGATGCAGGAGGCATGGGGTTACACTGGGCTGCCTCCGACTCCACCGCAGCATTCGCCACGAGCGCTGATGACAGATGTTCCTCCTTTGGGTCCCCCAGACTTGGAGGGCCTTGCAGACGACTGCGACTACCATGACAATGAACCAACTGAATGGCACAGGTGCGATGGATGGGGGCAACGAGGCCGCGGTGCCAAAGCTGTCCGCGGCTCGAGCTCTTCAACCTGGGAGCAATCCGACGCAGAGACGCCGACGCATGCTTCCAGCCATTGCGCATCACAAAGAGACGTTTGGAACAGGACGCGCTTGCCTCAATTGAGATCGACGGATGAGGAGGTTTTCAGGGACGAACCGCGGCAGTTCGAAACCTTGCGGAGCTCCCAATTGCGCCAAGAATCACAAGAAGTCGTCAACAACTCGCCCTCATTCCGTTACCACGAAACTCCTTTGCCATGTGGGCTCTTGCCTTCGCAGCTATCGGACATACTTTTCCGCGAGATCACACCCGAGGACTACGACGTTTTGCTGCAACTCGACACACAGCCGCCTAGCTCTGCGAGTCCTGCCGACATCGTCGCATTGCCTTCGGTCGATGCCCGAGAAGTAGATCAGGTGTCTTGCATATTTTGCTTATCTCAGTATGAAGACACAGAGAGACTGACACAACTGCCCTGCAGTCATGCGTTTCACAAAAACTGCATTGCAGAGTGGCTGTTGCAGCACAAGCCTGCGTGCCCTCTGTGTGGTCAGGAGGTCCAACGACTCTGACGCTGTGAACACACTTTCTTTCCAGCCCCTGCCTTGGGAGCGAGTCAGAAGTAAACAAAAGCGTTGCTTGCCATGGTTCCCGCGTAGGAGGAGGTTTGTATTCACACAGATCTTGCGCAGTCTGGGTTCGGCAGCTGAAGCCTGCGCGGGCATCTCATTCGATGGCCATACGCGTGGCACTATGCAGCCTCGCGCAGCAGGTGGACATAGTGGCATGACATTCCTGCACAGATCACGTGACAATGCCGATGCCGTGTTTTTGAATCATGTCCCACGACATGTGGACGAGCAGACAGCCTTTGCAGACCCCCCATGATGTGCCGGAAGCCCTCCCCCGAACTAAGATCCCAAGCTGGTTTAAGGCCGTGACACGGAAGCCATCCTCTTCCCAATGGCCTGTCCCAATTGCCTTCTTCGTCAGAACCCTGCATGTACTTCTGCATATCTACACACAACGAACGTAACTTTTGCCAAATGCCGATCGGAAATGGTGCTCTGATTCGCACAAGTGCCAAAGCAACGAGAAATCCCGAAACGGTTTGCATGGACACAAATGTACACACACATATCACACCTATCTATATATATATATATATATGTATGTATGTATGTATGTACACATTCATGTATGTGTATATGTACTGCACGAACACTGTTTCCGCATCAGATGATTCAAAAACAGTGACAGCTTTGGAGCCAAAAAATCACTCACGCTCTGTCCGTTGTTTGATTCTTCGTGTGCTACAAAGCAGTGGAGTTGGCAGAATATCAGAACAATGCAGAATCTCTCGGAGGCCAAACAAGTGCGCAATGTTTTCAACGGGAATGCCGCTGGTACTCATGGCATCTCAGACATGTCCACTGTCGCGACAGGCGGGGGAAATGCAAAGGGTCCGGTGAAGACTCGGTGTGAGCCAAGGCGACATGCTCCAAGAAGCCACATGACAAGTTGGCCGGGCAACTTCATGCAGATCGATTGTTTGACAGACCTCGCGACAAGAACATCGATGAATTGATTCGCACCCTTCCGAGAAGTCCAAAGGACCGGAGTAGTTTGCTCAACAACCTATGCGGCCTTTCGGGATGCAGTGTGGTTGCCACCATTTTTATTGCATCCTGTTGCTTCTGTACTGAAGCATGTAAATTTAGAGCCACACTGCCACCCCCATGCGAGTGGAGTATTGCGGGCAACGTTTCTGTGCTGACTCAGCATGCTCGTTCCGACACAGGACTTCACGCGCTTCATTGTAAATTTGGGCAAGCGGCGGCTTTGGCAGCATGTTGCGGCCGTTTTGTCAGAGGTTGGCCTGCTCTTTTGCTGCTGCTGCTGCATGCCGTGAGAGTATTGCTTTCACAGATGCGGCGGGCAAGCAGCCTGCGGCTTGCCCTGTGCTTAGCAAGGCTTAGCCTGTGTGGCGGCGAGATGGCTCCAAGATTATCTGTCTGCTTGTTGGGCATGCAGCCAGCCACGCATCAGGATGCTATTGCTGTTGGTGCCGCAGTCAAGGCCTGCGCAGGCCTTGTCTGCACTCGCTTCAGAAATTTGTGCTTGATGTAGCACGGCAGGCAGTGAGTGCATGCAGGGACCTGCTGGTGTGTGACTTCGTCAACATGTATCTTCTATGAAGCTCTTCTGGTACCACACTTAAACCCACAAGATGGTAGGGGGGCGTCTGGTACCCGGGACTTAAACAGGCGCTGTAACCCTTCGTTTGTTCATCAGACGTGCTGTTTGGTTTTGCTACTTTGTTGTGGCTAAGTGACCTGTTGAGCTAAGACACGGTGCTTGAGGGAAGCACCCATCACCTCTGAAAGCACTTTGGCCCAACAGCATAAGCGATTGCACCAACACATTCAACTACCGGCTTTCGAAAACACGAAGGGGCGAGCGCGTGGTCAGCATCTCTTCAGCTCGTATGCAGCGCAGAGCAGTCACGGTCTCAGATATCAGCCAGCAGGTACTTGGAGCCTTAAACCATCTTCAACCCAAATCAAAGATTGCTTGGTCCTGGGCATCTCAGGGCAGCCGTCAGAGCGGACACATTTACGCGACTTGCTTGCGGTTCAAGCGCAAGCAGCTCTCAAGGGTGCAGCAATTTCAGTGCCCTGGCCTGGCATCGCTGTGCCGAAGGTTGAATCTGGTGCTCAGTAGCACAGACCTGCCCAGAAAGTGGAGGCACTCGGACAGAAAAAGCTTGAGCCGAGAAGTTCGGACTTGCGTGGAACTCCGACCTGGCCCGAGTCGCCATGCTGGGTGATTCGCCAGGCTTGCACTTGGCATCCTGCAGCGTCAGAGGTTGGGCTGATCTCCAGGGTTGGACGTCTCAGCCTGAACACACACAGGCGCTTCCTACAACCCGACATCATCTCGTGCACCAGCTCGAAGCTGTGGTTACAATTGCACAGGGCGAAACTGTGCAAAGCACGAAGGTACGGCTCCGGCTCTGCCTCCTGTTCTCGAGCCAGCCATTGGAGCGAGGTCCGCAGATTTGCCTGTCAGCTGGCTGAACTTCTCGGCCCCTGAACAGTAGCTGCCCACGTTCATTTCCAGTATCGCATCATGTAAACTGACAGCTTTGACGTCCTCCAATCCCTTTCCGGCAGCTCCGGTTGCTGAATCATAGCCGCGGCAAGACCACCAATCAAAACAAGTTTCATAAGTCACCGTACCAAGCAGAAAAGTAAAAGTGATTGATGGCTGCTGTGATGCCGAACATCGAATGATAGTATGGTTGCAAGTTGTTATCGCCTACTGCTTCTTGCGTAGTCACAACAGCAACTGCATTTTCGCAAGTTCTTGGAATTGGATTGGGTAGAAGTCAGCGAGTTTGCTTTAAGGCTAAACCGTCACCCCAACTCTGTACGGATCTTTCATATCTTCGCGCGTTTGAGAAAGCACAAGGCCGAAATCATATCGTGCACAGGCACAAATCGACTGATGACGTCCACTATCCACACATCAGTTCAAGGTCGAAAGAGCAAAGGCTTGGATGGTCCTTGCGACGTATGCTGCAGGTCGCCAATGCATGCGTGAGAATTCGAGTGGCTGTCCGGGTTTGAGGAGCTGTGAATCGATTGCCCACATGCCACAACAAAGTGCCTTCTTGAGCGGTGGATCCGGGCGGCGTTTCTTGAGTTGGGCGGCGAAATCAAAAAGGGGAGGTCCTGCATCAAAAGCTCTCGTCTATGGGTCTATGGGCCATCGCTTGATTTTTCGATTCGCTCAAGACAAGTTGGGCGCATCAAACTGCCATCACCAGGTTTGTAGACTCTATGGTCAGCTCAGCATCTTCGGACTGGAGCGGCGACCCCAGACATCCCCAAACCGGCAGGTCGATGAAGTAGGCAAACACCAAGAGTGGCATCCCACGACGCAAGGAAGGACACCACGATGCTCAGCACGGCCCTGACAACATTCGAGAAGGCCCGTCCTTACCGCTGTGAAGATGCCTCATCGGCACAGCATCAGAGCATCTGTTCAGGATCCTTTCAGGTTAGGCCAGGTTGTAGCAGCGACTGTGTGCTCTGCAGGCATCACAATGGGAACGAAGTTTGTGCACCTTCCGGCGCGTTCGACAAGAGCATCAGCTTCGTCTCGACAGGAATGGTTGGGAAAGCAAGCCTTTCCGTCTGCCTTGTTATGCACTTTCTATACTTCCGGCAAGATCATCATACTCTCCTCCCTGCTCTCGCTCCTTTTCTCCGTTTCGTTTCTCTCGCGCACAATCCTGTAGGCATACGTTCAATGCAGCTGCCAGCTCCTGTGCGGCCGGATTAAAGCCCGAGTTGGCAATGCTTACCATGCAGGAGACTTCGGCTTGCAGTGACCAGCTCATGTTCTGTCGCCTGCTTCTAGACAAGAGAATGCCAGGACATGAAGGGGTTGACCATTCAGCCAGATGCTGCTCGGAAGCAACCTGCGGCGACCGCAAGCAATGCATGTTCTGAATATGTTCTGTGCAAGGCCAAGCCTGCATGAAGACCGCCGAACAGTTGTATACAAAGGTTGTCACCTTCGGCGCGATGGTTACTGCGACAGAGAAGAGCCAGCTTTGGCAACGAGCAACGGACTTGTTGCAGCTCAGCATCTCACAAGGCCTGTTTGGGCTCTTAATCATCGAAAGAAATACATCTTCCATGGATCAGGCATGCCCTTGGATGTCGTGTTGGCCAGCTCCACAATCAGTGCGTGCGAGAAGGTGCGGTGGTGCGCGTCTCCACGTGCTTTGTCTCGCTCTCTCTCTCTCTCTCTCTCTGACTCCCTCTGTCGTTCTCTCTCACACGGACGGTCAGAAGCAGAAAAAGCAACAGACCCTGGCAGCTTCAGGGATGCAGCAGGAAGGAAGGGCGCACGGGTGACTGGTATGTCCTGACAGCAATCTGCAGGACCTTTCGTTTTGAAAGGACACATGCGGCCCATGCGGTAGGTCGTGGCAGGGGCCAGGAGGCCAGGTATGGCCAGGTGATATTCCGTGCTTACAGCATGGGGACAAATAAATGCGACTGGGAGTCCAAGAAAAGAAATGGGGTAGCACACCAAGTGGCAACACTTTGACAGCACACTTTCGGGCAGAGGCCTTGCCTTACCGGCAAACAGGTGAGCCTCGCATGCTGCGCTCATGCCACAAATTTCGAGACAAGGCCTCGTCACGAATAATGCCTGAAACGGGCTCAGGCTTAGCAGTCAGGCAGGAGCAATTTCGTTTGGCCGCATCATGGCTGCACCGGGGTGGGGGGGGGCCTTAGTCATGAGAACAGAATATATAGGATGATCGCTGTGAAGGCGTTGAGATGGCGATGGGCCTTGGAGCTGGCAGAGACGCTACGCTGCGCTCATGACCTGATGCCTAACGAGATTATGTGCAACGCCTTGATTAGTGCTTGTGCTTCAGATGGCCAGTGGCAGTTGGCCTTATGTTTCCTGGATGAGATGCACATACTGGCTATAAAGCCAGGCACAGTTTCCTACAATGCTGCGGCAGAGGCATGCCAGAGAGCCTTGTCATGGTCGGGTGCAGTAAGCATCTTGCAGGGCATGCGAGAGCGGACTGTGCAGACAGATGTCATCACGCTGTCTCTAATTGGGCCACCTTGCGAATGTTCGGGCCAGTTTGACACCCTTCCAATTCTCGTCTATGGCATGCTGGAATTTTCCGGGACTCGGCTCCAGGCACAACATGCTATCACCGCTGTCGAATTCCTGACGGACCATGCCAGCTTGCAGGAAAGAGTTGTCAAGTCCTTTGAACGCCTCGAGTGGCAGGGTCTTGTCTACAAGCTACGAGAACTCTGTGCACCCACCTTTGCCCCGCTGGCATCAGAGAGGACGTCGGCCAGACTGTTCGACCATGAATTAAATCAGTATTTCACATTGGGCGCATTTTTCGTCGGCAGGACACTTGTGTGTCTTTTTGGGGCCAGTAGTCCGGCCTGGAGCAGTCGTGGACATGTCTACACAAGGCGCTCGACAGCGCAGTGTTTCTTGGAGGCCGGTACGACAGTGGAAGAAGAAGCCAGCGCTCACAGTCTGGCCGCTTGGATCAGCTGTGTTACTGGATCTGCACGGCGCCCGGGTGATGTTGGTGATGGTATTGCAGGAGGTGTGTTCGGCTATGGCAGCACTCGTGCTGCACAGTCCTGGCTTCTCCCGGTGAATGTGCAGCATGATCGCTCCAGGCCTGAAACATGTTTCGTCGTAGACGGAGTGAAAGTTCATTGTCAACAGTTGCAGACTCTCCTCGCTGTGGCATTTTAGCTGGCGTGAAGCTTCCCCCAGCGAGGCTTAGGGAAGTTTCGGGTCGGGCGTGGGTTGTCACTAAACACTAAAGCCGCAAGTCATCGCGACATTGGGGCCCATGAGTTGCACAGATCTTGGTGCTTGCATGTGCCACAACCTCGTGCATGACTCCTGCTTGTTGACGGGCGCATATCGGTTCGCAGGCATTCCGAGCGGCTGGCACTACTGTGCATCCTTCGCCGTGAGCTGACCACGGAAGTAGTTCCGCCACGGAAAAAGTTCTGTGTGAAGGACGAAGTGTCGAAGTCTAGAGTGCATTGCTCAGAGATGATTCGATCGCAAGTGCTTGCAGAGCGGTGCTCAGCACGCGGTACTTGCGAAGTTGCAGGACAGCCTCAGTTTTTCGGTCAGATTTGGCAAGGGCTGACCTGGCATCGGGGCTTTGATGTCTTTCACCCCCCCCCCCAGTGTCCTGTTTCGGAAGGTTTTTTCTAGCATGAGCAGAAATGTTCGGTCAGCTCATGTCAGCTCTGCTTTTTTAGGCCCAAACAATCAGGACCAGCATGGGTCATCAGTCTACCAGCTGGCCAAGGCTACCTAAAATGTGACAGCAGACTTCCTCAGTAAGTTGCAAAGCAAGACGGACAGCACACGCTTGTGCACACGCACGTTTGAAAGATAAGTACGTAGGTGCATTTGCTGCGTGATGCCATGCTGCGGTTTGCCATCCTGAGATGCAGACTTTAAGCTGGGAGCCTCCTACACCGCGATCCCCAAATTTTCCAAGGCGGCGCATTCAGTCGGGCAGCGGTAAACGACACAACGCACCGTTTAGGCTTCCCTTCGGGGAATTCGTGTTTCTCAGGCCTCGGCGGGTGGAGCACTCACGACCGGCTGCAAAAGCCGCAGCATGCAGCTCTGGCTGCATAAGGTCGGCGATTAGTGGGACACTTCCACCCCGAAATGGCCTTGTACAACCACGTTCTGGCTGTTAATCTCGACCTGCGAAACACAGAACCAAAATCAAGATAGGAATAGCTGAACAATGCCGAGAGCTGGAAGAACACGGTCCTAGCCACAAGAGATGCCTGTAGGTTATGGGACGATCCTCATTTGCTGAAGCCTGAGCTTCTAATCGGGAATAGAAGTCGGTGTAGTTGGAGAACCTAGACTTAAACCCTAAACCCTGAAAAGAGATGGGAGCAACTCCAAACCCAAAGTGAGTCGAGACTTGAAGCCACACTTGAACCTGCCGGGGTCTTCCGGCGCCCATGCCATGCATCCTTAGCATGTGCAAAGAGGCGAACACCTTTGCGGTGACTTCAGTGGCCTTTATGTGGCAAGCCATGCCAAAGCCCACGCCTTCAAATCCCCTTGGATAGGAAGGCGGAAAGCGAAGGGCTCGTGGGGCGAAGGATAGTCCTGAAGCGAAAGAAATGGGAAAAGCACGACCCGGTCTCGGAGAAAGGATCGCCAAACAACCTTTTGGATGATACTCAAGCATTGAAGCAGTGTGATTTCCCCACAGCTGCAGATACCGCGGCAGCCGATGATTGAGAAAGCTAGGGTACAAAAGCTTTCCGCGGCCGGGACTACAGCTTCGCAAATCAGTCCATATCAGCCTCGAATTTCCTGCGCAGACAGAGTCGGACCGACAATCGTTTTATCAGGTTGGTCTATGACTGCTTGCACTGGGCGGAAGCACGGAAGTTTTGAAACAAAAATCCTGATGAGATCAGATTGAGACATAATGAGTCAAATTGAGCAGTGGACCTCAAGGCCTTCATCCCGGCATAGGACGCAGCACCGGAGCTCCACTATGAGTGGCTCTGCTTGTGCACTGCCTACGGAAAGCACCATGTGTAGGGTTTTGAGATGGCCTGTATGGATGGCGAAAGTAACGGATAGACGCAGCTCACAACAGAAATGCAAACGATAGTTGCACCGGAAGTGAACAACTGCAGTGTGACTCCACTGCGTCTGGCCAGTGAAAACTGCCGGCTTGCCGAGCGTATGAGTATTTAGAGCGGCAGGTGGTGCTTCCACTGACGCAAATGACGCATGATAAATGTCATGGAGGGTTTCGAAACCGAAACCAAGGCATAGCGGTCGCAGCGCTGTCACATTGCGCGACTTTCCCGTGCTTCGGAAAGCAGGGACGAAGAAGATTGAAGCAGGCGATACACGAGACAGTACTACATGCAATTGGCTTTCTGCAGTTTCGAAATCAATGATCGGTCGGTAAAGCAGACTTGCACTGGCACTGCTTCCTCGGATCGCCTCGCTTTGACACGGCAGGCTCGTGTCAAACGACATGTTCGTGAGATGGCGCCTGACGTCGAGCGCTGGTCTCTAGCTTCGCAGGGTACACCTCGACCAGAGGACACCCCCGAGTTGTCCGAAGTTCATATCCTTGCCCATCTCGATTTCTGGAGGATGACCCTGATGGACAAGTAATGGCCGAGGTCGCTTGCATCATCTTGCATCTTCTGTCCATGGGGCATATGCACAGTGGCCTTTAGTAATGCTTCCCGTGACGCAAGGTCACACGCCTGTGGGAGGGCTTAGAACCGAAGCTGATGTACTTGCCGGTTCCTTAGCAACCCGCCCCGGCCTCCTTTGCTGCCTTTCACTTCGAATGGTTGTGCCGTACGCGAGGCCCAGAGAGGACCGCCTTCGTGCTCTCTCAGCACTTTGCGTTGCAGCGTGGCATAGCTCAACCAGCGTCAAACCGGCCTTATTCGTGAAACCGGCAAGGGTCTTCCAGTCTGAACCCTGTATGAAAGGCAGGAGTAACACCACACAACCGCACTCATACAGAAGCCTCGATAGAGCACTTGCAGTGCCATCCGGGCCTGGCGGGGCGGACCTTTCTTCAGAAGGAAAAACCATGAACAACCGAGCCCACTGTTCATGCACATGATAAAGATGTGACAGGACACAGGACGATGCGGCTTTGTGTGCATGCCCGCATGAAGGCTTTGAGTCATCGCGATTTTCACGTAGAAGGAGAAAAGCTCACGAAGCACTGGGTTCACGATTTGTTTCCTACCTACGGGAATCTGAGACCCGGCGGAGAGCTATGATGGGTGTGCCATGTGCGTGACAACAATCCCACGGGAACACGCATGACAGGCACAAGTTGCAATGTCCAGCATGACGGTTCAGTTGAGGATGGTTCGAAAGGGTTGCGCGCGCGTACATCAGCCATAATGAGAGCTGAGGCTGGCACATCATGGTCAGATGAGGAAGTCTGGAGAGCCTTACATTGTGCACCCGGTGGCTGTGGCAGCTCGATCACCATGGCTTTGTTTTGCGGCACAACTTCTTGCTTGTCTCGAAGCTCTGAGGCTGAGCTCCTTGCTTTGTTGAAGGCGCGAGGGCAGAACTTCCTGCTTCAAACTTTTGCAGTTGGGCGGAGTTTTGCGTTTTTTGATGTTTTTTGTTCCGTCTTTTGACAGCAAACTACAGCTGGATACAAAACTTTCACTCGATCTGGAAAATCTCTTTGGGACTGCACGCAGAAGGCCGCGGAAGGGCTCCGCGGAAGGACGCGGAAGCAACATGTACGCAAGCCGCTGTGCCAGTAAGATACATCTGCTGTGGAAATCGTGCTGCAGAATGGAAAGGAGGTAGCGCAATACGTCAAGAGGGGTTTTTGCTCTTGCGGAAGCGTTTGCTTGCAAAGCGGTGTGCGGAGGGACACGCTGAAGCAGCGCGGAAGGGACGACATGCAGAAACACTGCCGCTGGCGGCCTCCCTGGAACGAGTGTCCAGGCGGCCCTTATGCAGATTCGCAAAGGCTATGATCGATGGTGCTGGGGCTTTCATCCAGACCGACATCAAGAGCTACTTCGACAGCATTCATATGGAGGCTTTACGGCGGGCTTTGGCCCACATGCGATTCCCTCAACCTGTGCTTGATGTGCTGGAGGACTTTTACAGTGGGGCTGCGAGAATCTTTTCCTTGTCGGGCTCTCTCAACTCCTCTTGGAGCAGCGTTTCTTCTGGCATCGCACAGGGCTGTCCGCTCTCTCCGGTCATCGCGGCCCTGCTCTCGTTCATTTGGTCCAAGTACGTGATCGGCAACTCTTCTCGATCCCTCGGTGCTTTGGCTTATATTGACGATCGCACGGTCTGGGCCAAGGCTGGTGCTTCGCTAGATTCTCTTCGGGACGCGATGGTGAGGTCCACTTTCTACGACCGTGCCTTTGGTCTGCGCCTTTCGACTGAGAAGTGTTCTGTTGCAGCTCCGACTCTGGGCCCGGAACACCACACCCTCGCTGCTGAGTTTGGCTTCCAGGTGATGCCTGACCTCGAGATTCTCGGTGTCCGGGCTAAGTTCCAGGGAGAATGGACGCTCCTGAAGTACCATGCTCGGAAGGCGATTCTTCGTGCCAGGCTTTTGAGTTGGTGCACGAGGAATCCCAAACACCAAAAGCTTCTCCTTACCTCTCTGGTTGTCCCGCCATTTGCCTGGGCATCGGGCTTTGCTAGGTGTGACAAGGACGATCTGCGTGACATCAAGGCCGAAATCGAGAATGTCTTCAATCAAGGATTCACGGCCGGTTTTGCTAAGGTCTGCCTTTATGAGGCTTTAGGCTGGGACCTGCAACCGGACTTTGCGTGTGATCTTGGAGCTCTTCGCATTCTTTGGAAGGCCAGCATTCAGCAGCCTCGCTGGCTCGACACTGTTGCTTTGAGCGAAGCTCGTTTTCGATGGAGGACCATGCTGCCTGAGCTACCTGAGGTCCTTCGGAAGCTTAAGTGGGGTGTTGACCTTGCTTCGACTGAGGTTAGCCGTATTGACCGGGCTGGAAGGACTCGCACCATCCGTCCGGGCATCGATGGCTTTTGTGTTGCTAAGGCTTGGCTCGTGCAACACTTCAGGCAGCTCTACGTGGCGCGCACTGGGCGAGTTCAACGTCGGCTTCACCGAGATGAAGAAGGCCTTGCTGTTGGTCTGGACTTACCGGCGCCCGGCAGGCACCAGGACTACCACTTCGATGGCCTTCACACCGCGATCGACATGGGTCTCCGTAGCGTGACTCTCTCGGCCATGGGCACAGGAGGCTCCTGTTGGCATTTCAATGCCGGGGGCAACTTCGATCCCAACCACGATCGGTGGCGGTGCCTGTGTGGCCTTCGCCTTCCCTCCCGAGTCCACCTTCTTTGGAACTGTGAAAAAACTGTTGCTCTCCGCGAGGGCTTGCAACTTCCGGCTGACCGCTGTGAGGAGCGACTTCTTCTTCGGGGTGTTCCGGAACGGCCTCCGCCCCCGCCGGCCGTCGACCCGCAGGAGTGCTTCGACGACCTCCTCAACTCTGGAGAAGCAGCTCGCCGCCGACCCAGCGGTGCTCTTCGTTGCCTCGGACGGCTCCGAGGACAAGGACGTGGGTGCCTTCGCGGTCGCAGCGCACCCTGGAGGTTTCGTTTGCGCTCTTGGCACGGCTGAAGAAGATCAGTCGCCTTTCAAGCAAGAGCTCCTTGGCTTCGACTTCGCGGCTAGAGCAGTGGTTCGTGCAACCTCTTCCTGGGCTCGCCGTGTCGTTTTCGTTCTCGACTGCCAGTCTGCCCTTTCGCTTGTTCTGCAGACAGGCGACCACTTTAGCTACTACCTAAAGCTCGTTGACTCTGTGAAGGCTTCCCTGCGTTCTCTTCGAGGCCGCGGAGTCGCTGTCACCTGTGTGTGGGTCCCGAGCCACGGAAAACGTAAAGGCTGGCAAGCTCCTGCTGGGCTTTGCGGAGACCTTCTTCGCAAGCTCAACGCCACTGCCGACGCTGCTGCTGGGAAGTGTCGTCTTCGACGGTTCTCTGGCGGTACCACTGAAACCTGGTGGCATCTCCGTGATGCTGCCAAGACTTGGGAGCTTCAAGCCATCCAGGCTTCCGCTGCGTCTGGTGAAGCACTCCACAGGGAGCTTCGACGTCGCGGACTTCGTCCTCGTGAACATGATCCCGACCATGGTGCTGCCGACCCGCCTTCTGGCGATGAGGTGGCACCTCAAAGCGACGCTGCGTTGGCTGCTGGCGGCCAGTCCTCTTGAGTTCAAGCAACCGCACCTACTGAGCCTTTGAGGCCCCTAGGCTTCCTCTTCTTTCGTTGTACAAGCTTCGCTAGGCCCCTTGCCTGGCTTTTAGTCTGTAAGTCGGTGCCTCTTGCACCTGACTTCTTTGTGTTTTGCTGCAGTGAAAGGCAGCACCCGTAGGTCAGATAAGCATGCTTGTGCACGATGTCAATACTGTGTACAGCTGTGCAGTCAGTGTCGTGCATAGGCATAGCCTCGTGACGTTTAGCTTTGAGCTTCTTTCCCAAACTGTGACTGGACGGCCCTGCGGACCTCTCTGGGCGCAGAGTCACGTTGAATTTCGCGGTGACTCAGAAACGTGCCAACGGTTCGAGGTGCGGAAGGCCGCGGAAGCAGCGGTGGAAGGGTTGCGCGGAAGGGGTTTGTGCATCCTTGGGATTGAAACAGAAGTGGGGGGCTAGGCACTGCATTCCAAGAAAAAAGAGGATGTGGGTCATGGAGTTCGTTCGTCTGCGACATGCAAGAGCTCCCGCATCCGAGACTGCTTTTCATCAGGTGCAGGTGGATGTCATCGTTGGCGGCTTGTTCTTGGACTGCACGAGTCCGCTTAGCTCAGCGTTTGGGAACCATTACTGGCTTCAGATCATTGTTTAACTGTTACAAGACGTCAACCGGAAGCACCGGCAGCTGTGGCATGTTCTCGCCCTCCAGCCAAATTATGGGTCAACTGCACCATCGGGCCGGAAGGCTGGGTGTTGTACTGCAATGTGCAACCAGCAGCGTGCGACTCCCACCATTTGCCAGCGTGGCGTTGGTGTGTCTGTGCGGGTTGGCAGCTAGACTAGAAGTCTTCTACAACATACTGTAATATTCGAGAACATACTAGAACATTCCTATGGCATACTATACTTATAAGACACTGTATTATACTACAATGACGGCGGTCGGGAAGAGAAGGAGAGACAGGGCCATCGAGAAGCTTTGCCCCAGATGCCCAACAAAGACGATGCAGTTTCTACTACAGTTGCATCGGATCCCTTTGATGGCTGAGGGCTCGTCACAACAATGTCACCCTAGTCTTTGTTTGAAACCAGGTCTTCAGGCACTGTTTGTCGCCATGTGCAACAGTCAAGCCTCGGCAATGCATGTACATTTAGAGAGATTCGCGCATCCCGAGATTGGATTCCAGTATACAGTATACTAGAGATGGTCATGCTTTCGACGTCCGACACGTGTTTCCGATGCCGAGGCTCCATGACACGGTCGAGGACAATCCTACCATTCACTTTGAGGATTTGGAGGAAATCTTTGGGCCTGATGTCCGTCGCACCCAGCATGCACCAGAATCTTGGACAGGCTGCTCCGGCCCCTATCAGACAGTGCATGACATACGGGGCTAAGGTATTGTTGAAGGAGAGACCAAAGCCTCTAAACGAACAGCATTGGGCGGACGTGGAAATTGGAGCAGACGTTACACATCTTTGCCGGGTGCTTACCTATGGTTAGGTGCCGCGTCATTACTCCGATGCAATGACACAGCACTTACAGTGCAGTCATCAGTGACGATTAGCACCGAGGTTTAGCATATTTTTCGGCAAGAAGACGCCTTCATCAACATCCGATGATGTGAGTAAGGCCCGTGAACAAGCAGAAAACCTCAGGGACCAGCCCTCAGCTTCAGATTTGCCCATCAGAAGCTCTTTCCCATGTGGACTCGTTGTCGGCTCTTCTCATTCTGTCAATCGCGATTTTCGTCTCCCAATTACTTGCTTGTCGGTGAGTCAGCTGAAGCTGCTGCAAGGACATGTTCTTAGCCATGGCTGATGATTATCGCGTGATCCTGGTAAAGCTTGCGGCTGGCGCCCGAGTAACATGGCATGCTTAAGTGTGCCCGCAACACCCAAGTTGACAATTCAGGATCGCTTGCACAATATGCGCACGCTCCAGTTCATGCGTCTTGGCTCAGTGTGTTGCAATATGTCGTTCAGGCTCAGCACCTGGCTTCACCTGTGTTAGTGCTAAAGCAAGGGTGCAGAAGGAGAAGCAGACATCTTTTTGCCGAAGTCACATGCAGTTGGACAGATAGGGAGATGCAGTTCGTGAATCAGTACCTGCAGAAGCCCACAGCAAAACGGCTTGACTTGTGTTTCCTCACTTCGTTCTGTACCCCTCGACGCGGGGTTGTGTAACTGGCTGGCACTACAGTACGTGGAGGTACGTGCAGGTGCACAGGCCAGCATGAAGGAGGACGTTTTTGTTGAGCTTTCACAAGTGGTAGGAGGCCCCGAAACCCCTCTCCTTTGCCCGTTCGGCTGCCGCAGGGCAGAAGAAGAGGATTTTCATGGTCTAGGGAGTCTCGGGGTGGGCAGCGTGCGCGAGGCGCTGTCAGTTTCATGCAGACTACCCAGTATGCTGGCGAGGGGCCGAGGGTGAGCCTCTTTCAAGACCGTCATGCAAGCAAGCAAGCGAGCAGTATCCGCCCTGCACACAAACAAAGAAGAATCTGGGGGGAGCACGAGTGGCGAGTAGGATTAGCACTCCAAGCGATCAACTGATGGGAACGGATCGCTCGGGAGTCCAGGCGGTGCGGGCTTTCTTGTCCCAACAAGACTTGCTGAGGCCAGAGCGCAAGCGCAAGACCATCGCAGCGGAAACCCTGGCAGCTTCCCTGCATCGTTTACAGTGTAAAGCTGACGGCTTGCCAAGCAGCATGTCCTGGAATCTCGTCTCTCGACCTCTTCTCTCTCTCCGTCTCTCTCGCGGTCTCCCTCGTTGCAGGTAGTGTTTGCACAGTTGGCACACCGGCTGGGTGTTTGGCTGTTCAAAACCGAGCTGGAGGATTTGCCTTCACCTCAGTTCAAAGTTGGAAGAATGGGGCGGTCAGATTTGTTGAGCCCCTGAGCAGGTCTTTCAAGTACCTGTACCCCACAGCCGCTCGTTTCAACGGTCCAGCGCTCGCAGGGCTTGCATCGAGAAAGCGCCGAAGGGGTTAATTGAAAGCTAAATTGGGTCGAAAAGGAGCACTCGGCAGACAGTCGTTCTGCTGCGGGATAAGCCGAGGAGTTTCATCGACTCAACAATCTTCTCAGCATGCGGCGAGCACAGCCACTTAGCTCACCAGAACCATTGGCCAAGATCGCTTCGCGCATACGGGTATGCGTGCAATGCTGGTTCCGGCCGTGTCTGACACTTCGCTGCTAAGGTACACATCCACTCTCGCTGCAGCCACGCACGATTTCTCTGAGATCCTCAGGTTGGGGTCTTTGTGAACTGCAAGTGAAGCATAAGCAGCTACTGAAGTTCCGGAGAACATGACCGAAGCTCCTCGAAGGCAAGATGAGACCCTCACAAGACACAACATCAAGCTGGAGATCACGGGAAGAGAGAAGCTTGGGCGCAGGGGATTTCGCAAGCTCAACCCTCGCAGCTGAAAGTTGATCAACCAAGGAAGGGCATGTACTCTCTGTGGGAGAAAATGCGCCGAAAGACAAAATATCAAAACAACATCGCCCTTTGGCTCAAAGATGTCTGTCTGCACAAGACAGGCCATGGCCTTTGCAGTGTACTTGATGCTCAGGACAATATTGACGACATCATTGCATTGCGAGTTGTGCTTGACATTGACCGCTTCGAGGGGGAAGGTGACGAAGAGTTCGCCGAGCGAGGCGCAGGTTTCTGCTACCATGCGCTGACATTGGCAAAGAAGCTTCCCAACTGGACCGGAGCTTTCGGCTGCATCCGACGGCTTAAGACGAGGCTATTATGAATGCTCTATCCTTCTGGTGTACACATGTGTATGTGTGTTTTCCTGATGGCCTTCTCGCATCCAAGGAGGCGACAGTCTGAAAAATTACATCGCTTTCCCGAAACCAAACGGTGCGGGTCTCAGATCGCTTGCTTTTGCAAAACCTCGGATTTCGTCCGAAGCTTTGGCACTGGCAGGTTATCAGTCATTGCATGCGACCTTCGTTCATGATGATGCACCTGTGCCATTGGAAATACAGATTCGAACCAGACAGATGCATGAAGTCGCTGAGTCAGAGCCTCAGCTTCCTCTTCAATTCAAAACGGAGAAGTTTAGCATCCTTCGCCAAGACGGCGAATGGCTCCTTGCCGTAACTTTTGCACGCCCAAAGCATCCAATCACCATAACACGAACTTTGCATCCCAGGTCGTGCAGTGGTGGTTGCAGTCACACTTACCTCTCCGGAAATCGGAGTTTAGTAAGTGCTTCCCGTGCAATCCCGGGCACACACATCGGCACAACTTGTGGAAGGTCTGAAGGAGCCTGCTGTCTAGGCTTGCGCATGGACACAGCCTAGGTACGGCATGGCAGCACATTGGACTTACAAAGACGAGCTGCGCGGCGACGGAGAGCAACACAAGTGCATGCCTTGGATCATGTCGCATGCGGGCAGCTGCATGCCAGAAGAGACTGTCCCCATGTCAGGTCCAAGATGCTCAGCCGACGAGTTGCATGGCTTGAGTCGCTCGCAGACAAGGCACCTGTGACCAAAGCTTGCTACAGTAGTTTCAGCTGGTACGGAGACAGAGGGCACGTAGCATTCACTGCTACTGTCAGGATGGAGAATTGCGAACGGATGCGCAGCAATTTGTGGAAGAGGCGCAGCATTAGTACGCAATCTGCTGGGACCAAGACCCATGGCTCTCCCACAGCTGCAGGTTTTGCGAGATGAGCTTGGAAGAAGGCACTGTGCGAGTTACTGGGTCCTGGGGCTCGTGTCTCACTGGTGGTATTATGCATCGACTGCATCCAACGTCACGGAAAACCTTGCACCACGGGGTGAACATGTCTAGCTGCATTTCCTTATTGGCTGTAAACTCAACTTTTCAACTTTTGGGGTTCTTATAAGGTAGTCGATTCTGAAAGCTTCAACTTTTATGTCCTTAGGTTTTGGGCCAGTGAGTTTCTATGCTATCAAGCACATTGACATCTGCGAACGCTCTCGTATGCGGAATCCATCTTCTAGGAAAGCTCCTTCTCAATGTGCTTTCGCATGGCACGACGGCGAGCCAAGATTCTGCAACGTCGAGTTGCGGAGTGTTGTGGAGGAGTTTTTCAGAAACGCCCTATGCTCTCAAGGAGTGTGCCACAAGCCCAAGAAGTATGGAGGCAGAGGACAGACGTGAACGGCGAAAATGCCAGCTCGAACGTGCGCTCTGCAAACGCTTTGCAGTGTCAGTGTCAGGCGACCATGGAAGCTCCCGCATCTGAGGCAAAACAGAGGCAGAATACTACAACATAGGATTTTAGACCTTTCGGGCAATCCCAACTAAAGACTCACTTGCATGAGCAACCACGTTGCTACAATGCTGGCTGACCGCATGCCTGAAGCCAAGTGTGGCCATCCGTGACCAGAGCCTTTTCACTGCCAAGTCCTGGCGTGCACCTTCTCCAACATATGGTTAGAAAAGAGAGATTTGTGAAGCAAAGGACGAGAAAGCACAAGTCATCCTTCACGGGGCTATCGAAGCCAAGAACTGGCCCTCAGATTCAATCGGAAGGGCCCCATGAGTTTGCCTCAGAGGCTGAGGGACCCACCCCAAACTGGTACGTCTTGTACAGGCTTGCCGACTAGGCGTGCTGCCAGGTTCCACAGAAGCTCGGTCAGGGCCGAAAAGTTAGGGATGCGTGTGAACTCGCACGAACCTAGTCTGGGCGTTTGTGGAGTCTGCAATCTGAAACCCCACCCCAGGCTGCAAGCATGCACGATTGCTTAGCCGACCGGAGCATGTAGATGACTTGTGGCGAGGTGTTTCATATTCTTGAGAGACGGAACCATCCTGAATCTCTCCAGTGCCTCGGCTTTCAATCTGCGCTCGCGCGCAAGCAGTGCTTACAGTAGTCTCCAAGCAGTGTGACATGCAAGACAGTTCGGTCCCTTAGGAACCTCAGAAGTGTTACTTGAGTGTGTAGAGCTTGGGTTGCGTTGTGCTCCGTCACTGTTTGGGGTCCACGGCCGCAGAGACATGATGCGTGGCAGGGCTCATTGCACTGCTCGCAGCCAAGGAGGCTGCACCGCGCTGGATGCGGCGTTCAAGATTCACTCTGAGGCACTGCACGGCACATCAAATCAGTGCTGACTCGGACTCTAAGTCAAGCAGCAAGCTTTACTGAGGTTGGACTGCACATGGTGCACGCTGTGATCAACGACAAGAAGGCTGAGTCACAGACGGAGTCTGACACTCGAGATAAACGCGAACAGTCAAACCCTAAATAAGAAAACTCTTTGAGCCTTGCCTGCCATGTCATGTGCGAGGGTGAGATGGGAAGCATATAATCCCGGCCAGGTACCTCCATTTTATCAGCTTCAGAATGGTGATCGTGCCTCGTCTTGGGTGCTTAAACATGGCTGGTTTGAAGAAGCCCGGCCAGCGGCGTTCGCAACAGATACTGGAGCTGACACTAGCTGACTAGCACGTCTCCGAATCAGTCCTTCAGGGCACTATTTCCGACAGTCCAAGTTCGCGTTTCTCAGCCGGCCGGCCTGTCACCTCATGTTTCGGAAGGTGTCAACATCGTCACCTCAGATGAAGCAGTTCCCCAGAGAGAGTGGTGCCACGGAAGCAGAGTAAATCACACCAGAGATTGCCGGAGGACTATTGCACAAGTGAACTGAACAAAAACTTGTTGACTCCATTGTCGAAGGCTGGCATATGCATTTCTCCGGTCTACCCGCAACAAGCTTACGGCCTACTTTAGAAGGACAAAGAAGGACCGACAGCTGGCTTGCTTTGCACGTACATGTCAGAGCTCGATCAAGAGCAGCATCTCGCAGGACAAAGAACGTGCAGTGGATTTTGCTGCAGCTTTGGCGACAGCAGCAACTGCAGCAGCTGCAATACCCCTTGTACATTAATGCAACAAGCCGAATCGTGACAGCCCACCTTGCATGAGACAAGACCACAAGCACTGATCGTTGCCCTGGTTCTACGCTGGATGCATGAAAGGCTTCTGAGCTGCCTCTCCACTATGATCCAGAAGATTCGTTTCACCCATCGCTACGAGTAACGTGTACTTTTTACATCTTATTGCGTTTTGGTCGCATCACCAAAGCAGGAAAGCCCGAAGTCCGGATGCTGCCTGCACCGGCCTTTTGCACGATGTGCTCGATTTCAACCGCGCAGGACAAAGCCGAAGTGAATGCCACTCCCAGCCACTGCAGTGCACACATCGAGGGGCGCGTGCCGTCCCAAAAGGTTATCGCGAGGCAAGCCCCTTCCGAAAGTTTTGTCGGCTCGAGATGGGCAAATGGCATCCTCAGTGCCACCTTGTTGTCCCAAGCACCTCAGCATGCTAGAGGCACGAGATCTGCAGGATCGCACCATGGCTAAACACTTGACAATTTATGATCCCATCATGTTTTGCTATGGAGCACAAGATCGCTTGTTCGAAGCTGTCCTGTGATTCTTTGGATAGCGCTCAGCGACCTGATCGGAACGGTGACAGGCCGCACTTTCAACCACATCCAACTTGGAACATCGACCTGGGATCCTCAGATATTTTTCGAAATTATTGAATTCAATAAAATTTATATCACGTATGTCAACCCTCCTATGCTTCAAGATTAGCTAATATCGGAATCCTTGAAAGATAAGAAATCTATTATAGATCCCCTATATCTCCAATAGAAAATACCCCAGATAAGAAATATTAAATTAATAAAAGAAAGATATTAGATTTCTAGCTGAATATATCCTTCAACCCGCAGCCCACTTATCACCTGCCAAGCGTTCTTTAGA